TTTTGGCAGTAAAACGATCGAATTTATTATCGGATTTGTTACTGTCTTCACTCTCTCAATGTGTGTTCGTTTAGGTCCGTAGTAGTTATTTCTATAATCTTTTCTGTTGCTGCCTCGTTTGCTCTCTCATGCGTCTTCGATTTATTTATTTCACGCAATTACAACGGTAGAAATATTTTCACTCATAGGCAAATGAATAAATGCAAAATGGATAGAAAAAAAAACAGAGCCTTCGACACCATGCCATGTGAAAAACGTCTCTCTTGTCCGTTCGCTCACTTGTACGCTCCCGTTTAAATGCTTTACATTAAGCCATTTATCGATCGCGTTGTGTCTGCCATACTTTTTTTTTCGTTTCTCTCCACATTTCGCTTCTCAGGTTTGTTTTTTTTTTCCTCTCTCGCTTAATGGGAAAATTGCGCGAATCAATTGAATGGAATAAAATATGCGTATTTCATTTTTTGTTTTTCGCTTTTTTTCGTTGTTTTTTTTTTGTTGGTTGTTTTACTAACTTGCACTGGACGTGATTCAACATCAAGGCGGAATCGAAATGTGGCGATTGCAGGCAGGAAAAAAAATTGCACACACCATGCAAAATGATGCTCAAAGAATCGAAATTGAAGGAAAAAAACACCATTGACAATGTAAACATGAAATGATGATGAAATTATCGCCAAAGTGCCCCAATCGAAAAAGGTGGTTCGCTCGATGGCAGCTACATTTGCATTACGATTGCGAGCAATGCGAGAAAAGGAAAGCGAAACCGGTTTTGCACGGTTTGATGGAAATTCGCCATTAGAGCTATCAAGTGTTCTAATCAAAACTGATTTAAATGGTCATTTCACCGGATGCTCGATTAAAATGATGCAAAACCCAAATTCAACACTGATTGCAATGTATGACTATAGTCACTTTAGCTGCTTTAGATGAATCCAATCATGCACTTGGGCTCGTGGAATAGAAAATTAAGACTTGATCATGTTCATGAAAAGTGGAACAATTTGGTGTTAGATTTAAACAAAAATCTCTGTTTTGAATGTGATAAACTCGTTTCATGCTCAACATTATTTGTCAACATGAAAATCGATTTCTTTTTCTGTCAAAGTCGACGTTTTTTCGTTTTATTCTTGGGAAAATCATCGATTTTTCCAAACGAATCATGACGATTTTTAGGTTCTTTTTTACGTTTTTGAAAAGCTCGCAATTAAAATGCAGAAATCAGCAGAAAAGGCGTCTGACTGTCGCTCAATGTATGAAATGGATAATGTTCTGTTGTCTGACAGAAAGATTTTGGTGTGCACAAGCACACAAGCGAAAACTTAATTAATGCGGAAATAACAGATGTTCTTTGATTTGTCCATGAATAAAAGAAACATTTGAATGGAGCTGCGAAGCCAATCGTTTGTGAATACGCACATGTGAAATTCTGTTGTGTATCCTTGGATTTTCATTTATGCGATGATGTTGTTATGTTCTTTTCTTCTTCATCTTTTTGCCTTGTGAGTGGATGATTCTCAAGTTGTGTATATTGTTTGGTGTGTTGAATGGGGATGAGCTGAATTTTCTGGTGGCTTTATCTTATTGGGCGCTTCAAATTGGATGCTAAATGCTAAACACTGTTCGCTTCTGGGGTTGGAAAACAAAAGGCATGTTGTATTGTTTGGCGTTTCGCATTTGAAATGGGGCGACTACCATTTCGATTGGATGCCAACAACAATTGTTCGCTCGCTCTGTGTATGTGCATTTCCATCCAGGCAAAGTGAAGAAAATGAGGTTGAACTACGACTGGGGCTGGATGCGCACGACAATGTAAATCGTTGTTGTTGTTGATACAATATTGGCATCGGTGTCGACACACAAGTGCCGATAGACGACGCATACATAGAGTTCGAGTTTTCCGACACAGCAGCACGCTGAGTGTTCGGGCTTTCATTGTTAGCTAAACTGTTCTTGTTTCAGTTTTTCGGGGGATTTTGGCAACGGCATCCGACATCAGTTTTGCTGTTAGCGCAATATTTGCCGCATCTTTCTCTCTCTCTCCCGCTCTTTCTCTTCCTCACGTTCTATGTATCATCAACAAAAGAGAGACCTCCCCAAAAAACAAAATCCTACATTCAATATGTACAATGTCTCCCTCTCTCTCTCATTCCCTATACATAAATATACACGATGTGTTGTATTTTTCCACACTTATACACGAACAAAAACCGTCTTTTGTTATTTTCCACCAAACCATTTTCGCTTATTCCTCGGCACACTATGCCAGTGTATGAGTGTTGCGAACGTGCTGTGTGTGTACCAATACGTGCTGGCACTGTCTGTCTCTCGAAGCAGCAAGTGCGAGCGATTCAATGCGGCTCTCGGTGCTGCGGAGATGTGCACGTGTATGAGTGAGCGTGTGTATTCGTGTGTGTGTGTGTGTCTTTTCCGTGCTATTCTGAATACGATTGGCATTGTGAAATATTTAGAGGGCGGCGTATTTATACACGATTGCTGTTGTTGTAAAGAACAATGATGCAAAAATAAACACTCACAAGCTTCGTTTATTGTTCGAGCGTTTGCGTATTCGACTACTATATGGATTCAAATTTTCTTCGAGAAATCCCACATTTTCCATCTCGTGGCGCAATGATAACACACAAGAGCTGTTGTGTATCGGAATGAGCTTCATCGTTTCGCAATCGCATCTTGTTGTGTTATATACTAACAAAATGTGGCTGAAACATTCTCTATTATATATATATATATATAGCACTCACTATTATAGTATTTATACTTATTTAGGCAGTTTTGCACATTCGAACCCAAATCGATCCGAATATTTCGCATTTCTTGTCATATTTTTATTTTTGAGTCTATTTGAAATATTTCTCGCATTTTTGGCTCATTTTCTTTCGATCGAAAACAATAAAATTCGTTGAATTGTGTGCATTCGAATGAAAAGTCACACCAGATTACAAAGCAAAAAATTCTGAAAAAAAAAATCGATACACGAATCATGTTCATTCCACGTTCAAATGTTCAAACAAAAGCAAAGAGTAAAAGCAAATGAGAGAGACATTTTCGCCATGAAAATCATATCTACAATGAAATTCGATTATTTCCCGTATGAATATAAAAAACTATAGAATATAGAGAAATGCGAGAAAAATAACGAAACAAAGACGGAGAGAAAGAACGAAAAAAAAATGTCATGAGAAAAAAACCTGACATTTAGTAGCTGGCAACTGACAAACGAATCAGCCAACCGAAAAAATACGCACACAACAGTGTGTCTATATTAGAGAGAGTGTGTAGAGAAAGAGTGAGCGAGTGAGAGAAATGACAAAGCAAAGCGTTGGCGCATACAACTGATGAAGCACCACCCGCAATTGCCATACACAAACACACACATATACACAGTCAAATAGAATGTGCCGAATCGGTGTCTCTGTCGATTCTAACAGTGGCGGCGGTATGGCAGTAGTAGCAGCATGGAAACGCATACACCGTTGCTTGTAAGAACGAATGGAGTGTCACCTACCACCGTACGGGAATTTGCACAGTTATTTCTCGGTGCGTATGTGTAGGTGTGTGTGTGTGTGTGTGTGTATTTATGTGAGTGTGTATGTTTGTGTACGACTGAATGTTTATGTAGTCAATCCCACCGACACATATTTCCCAGGCAGTACAATGAAATCGCATTATATTCCAGGCCATTGACAAAGCATTCGATTCGTGATGCAATGCTCAAGCTCATCATGGAATATCGTTGTACATCGAAATTCACGTAACATAATATGGCATGGCAGTTGTTGCTGCCGCTTCTTCCTCTCGATTATTTTTCTACTGTATAGTTCTGCTGCTTGCTATATTGTTCGTATTTGCTCCACACACACACACACACACATTACAATACACCCACTCATTTGGTATGAAAGATACAAGAACATACCTCTTTTTGTATCTATCACATAAACATAGATAGAAAAGCATGTCTCTTCTGGCATGTCTATTGTCACCTCCATATTCCGACAACAGAACGAGTGTGTTCAAGCAGACCAAAAATACAATACATGATTTTCATCACACATATATTACATAGAACATACACAGAGCCAACAGAATGCCATCCGAAAAGCATGCCACCAACGGTAATGCCAATACATTGGGTCTGTATGATAAATGGGCAAATGTACACGGAATTTACATAGGGCACAAACAGACAGTTGACGAAGCGTCTATGTAATGTGTAGCCCGTTTTTTTTCTTTTCTTGCTCCTAATTTGTGTAGTACATGGTAGTTTCTTCACTTTGTTACCCAACATCAGCTACTTCTAAGTCTTTACCATGGACATGAATTCGCAAAGATGTGAAAAAGCTCATTTCACACTTGAACAATGTCATATTTTCTTCTCACCACTGACTCAATATCTGTCTAACAAAAAATAACATTTCGTCTTTAAGCAACATTTGCATTCTGTACTTTTGTCATGTGATTTTAATTTCCAACACATTTTTAATGAAATCAAGCAAATTGGTTTTTTTCTGCTTGTTGGAATAGAAAGGAAAACAACATAAGTTTTGAACTTTACACGGAATGAGTCATTTGAATTGAATGAAAGGTTTTCATTGGTTGATCAATCGATGATTTAATTATAGAATTCACATATTTATGATTTTTTTTCCTTTGAAATTGCACTATTTGATGATTATAATCATCGAATAAATAAAGTTACTGTTAAAAAATAACAAAAATCCCATTAAACATCATAAGAATAAAACGCAAAAAGAAACAGTCTATATCAAAATCTCACATCAAACTCAAATTGTGTGCACCATCATTTTGGGTTTACTGCACCAAAAAATCACATAAAATGTGAGATGACGTGAAAATGTGAAAAGTCAAGTCACTAAGTAGAGCTGTTTGTCTCTTAATTAAGCGTGAATGTGAAAAAAAAAAATTTGTTGTTTTTTTTTCTCTTGATTTTTTTGCCGTTAATGTAATGCGAGACCACTTACCCGTCGAATGAGTTCTTCGCGCAAGATTTGCAGTCCGGTAATCACTTCATTAAGTTCGCGCTCCTTTTCGTCGATGCTTCCATTTGCGGAAGCCGCAGCAGCAACAAGCGAAGCTGCAATATTGGCCACCTTACGATCTGGTATACGGTCCGACACCATGTTTTCACTGTAATGAATCAAAACAAATTGAAATCAACAAAATGAAATGCCCGAGTGAAAGTGGTCGTTGCTTGATTTTTTTTTCGGCAGCAGACACAAACTGACGGGGTCAAATGTTTGTGCGATGTGCCAATTTTTCGTTGGTGGCGTCGTCGACCAAAATTTGAGTGAAAAAAAATTTATGTCTCGCAAAAATGACAAATCGGTTCGTTCTTCATATTATCGTAAGCTGTGCGCGAGCTTAGTGATAATTGTGTAATTATCTCTCTCTTTTTTTTTCTCAATGGAGTTGCGGCGAGTTTTCGTGTGATGGTCGCACTAGCATTCGCTGAATTTTGCGATAATAGATTTTATTTGCACACATGGCCACACACAATAAAATGGTGTAAATCGTTTCCAGCGCCCGAATTCATATGGAAGGTGCTCATTGTGTGCGCAGTCAATGTTATGCGTTGTCGATTTTCATCTTTCGATTTTCTCATTACGCTTTGTGCTACATTGTTGCACCTAATCACAATCGTTCGAAACGCTGATATTACTCCGCTCAAAGTATTATGAAGGACGAAAAATAAGGCGATGCGAGAAATCAGTACAATGAATTGGCAAATGTGCAAATAAAAAAAAAAACGCGAGAAAATAAAGGGAATTAGAAATAAAAGACGAAGAAGAATTGTGAATCAATTATCAGCGTAGTTGATTTTGCGTTGCTGAGTTTCAAGTGTCGGTTACGTTCGAATCAATAAAAACTAGGTTGAAATGGACGCGTGCGCGCAATCCAGCGCTCATCGCACTTGCAAAACATCGATTACATGTTTTTTTGGAGGAAGCATATCGAACTGTTCGTTGAATAGAGAAAATTGGCTCCCGAATTTGGTAATCGTATTTGAATTTTTTGGCTTTTGTAATGCTAATATCGACGGATTAGAGGAAGAGCAATCGATTGTCGGGCGTTGAATGCAAGCAATTTCCTCGTTTCAAGCGTCACCAGTTAACGTTTCAATTCGTCGAAGTTGTTGACATTTATTGAAAATCAAGACAGATGCCCCGTAATTGATGACATGTTTGTAAAAAGCATTTATGTCACACCCGATTTGAATGCCACTTTAAATCAGTCGATGGGCAAAAAGTCCCGGCAATGCACTAACCAGTACGGTGAGAACGAACGCTACAAACCGTTTTCAATATGATACATTTTGCGAACGATAAAAGAGAGCGGGGAACGCGACCGGGGATAGTATTGAATGAATGTCGAATGATGGATACGATATTTTATTAAATGACATGATTCGTATCCTTCTCAATGACGCGATGATTAAATATTCACCGCACACATACCTCTGCTTTAGTATTGACGTTTGATTTTTGCTGGTTGTGGTTTCATCATCGTTGGACATTTTTTCCTGGCTCTGCAGCAGATGCTTGTGTTGCTGTCGATGGTTATCACGTGTCGCGCCACTGCCTTTTGGCAACGCTATGGATGGGAAACATGAAGAAAGGATTTGGTTTTTCGTTTATCAAGCAAACTCATCATACTCGCGGTGACACACTTCCTGGTGCACAAACACACACACACACTGGATTTCACTTACCGGTCAGACGCTTTAGAATATTGTCTAATTTTGTGTTGCTGTTGTTATTATTGCTACAATTATTGTTATTATGAAAATTACTAGAGTTTTTTGTGGTTGCTGCTGTTGATGATGTATTCATTTGGGTTGCGGTACCAGTTGACGAGGTCATATCTTGGAATGCGATATCATATTTCGGTAATTGAAATCGTTCGGTCGGCGATGACGCCGACGCCACAGCAGCGTTTGGCTGATTCGTTGTTTGTATATCGCACTGATCGCTGAATATTTTCAATATGAAATCGTGCGCCTGTTCGATAGCTCGATTACGGGACACTTCCTCAAATTTGGTGGCAACGCTATTATCACTATTATTATGTTGCGCTTTACCGTTATTTATTAAATCACTAGAACTGTTTTCACTCAGTTTTTCTTGTACATCTGCATTGTTCAATGTACTCGACGCCAAATTTTCGTTCAATTTTTGCACGTTATCACTTGAGCACTTCACTAAATCATCGCCACTGTCTACAGTATCATTTTCATCGTATTTATGGTCAATGTTATTGTTATCACTTGGTCGCTGTGAATAAAATTACCATTTTGATTATAAAATTGAAAGCCTTTTCGAGGGAGAGACATAGAGAGGGAGATCAATGTATTTGGTAAACTGGGTCATTTTGGCAGCATCAAGTCGAACATCTAGTTTGACTCTTTCGAAATTCAAACCCCTTTTCGACCGATTGCGACTTGGGACCGACCCAGTTTTATATAATAATCCAATTTCATATGATAATGTGCAGAGAAAAAAAAAAGGTTTCTTCTTACCGTTGATGCTATGGTTTGAATGTTGTCACGCGACACTTTACTTTGGGGTTCAGTTCGGTTGATTTGTAAGTCTTCTGAATTGTTACTCGATGGAGATGCGGCCTCTTGCTTTTCTAAATGCTATAAACAGCATTGTTGTTCGAAAAAGAAAACAAAACCAAAATGCATTGAATAAAACATCAAACGATTGTGACGGAGGTAATTGCAATACAAATATTCGATAGCAAGGGAATTAAAACGTAATGCAGTGTTGAATTGAGTTGACCTTCGATTGACCTCTTGACATATCCGGCTATTTTTGCCAATTGCAAACGGATTTGAATTTATTTCATTACTTTTGACACACAAAATGTGTGTCACCGCGATTACATCGCATTTTCGATTCGGCATGGATTCGGACAATTTACAATTATCGCAAATCCGCACACTGTATGCGCGCGCATACATACATCATTTTTACAAATAAAGATAGGCGCGACGACAACTACGACATTGCCTTTTATTGTAGCAAACGAAAAATCACTGCCGCACATCAAACAAACAAAATACTAAGTGTAATCATTGTTATCGTTTGCGCGCTCCCTCTCACTCTCTTCGAACTTGTTTCTCTCAGCGCGCATGCTGACACTCTCTTATCACACGTTCGACAGAAATTTTTGCAGAAGATCCTCTCTCGCCCTAATCAAGTATCAAAATTATTTTTGGAACGTGTTAACAATTCGAAACAACGATTCAACGGCTTTTGTAAAATAATAAAACCATTAAATCGGCACATTGATTGACAATGCAAATTCCGGGATTCCCGCAATTCACGAAACGATACGAGGCACTTTTTCTCAAGCGACGTGTTTTCGATTCAGTCCACTTGTTTCAATGTGAATTTTATCATTATTTTATTTCAATGGCTTGAACGGAGCAAAAAAGGCTCTGAAACACACTGTATTTTAAGATGAATATATCTCGGATATGCAACTACTTGAAACTACTACAATTCTTATTCTTATCGTGTTCGAATTTGTGTAATGCCATCGAAAAGATGTGCGACTTTTGTTTGCCGTTTTACGTGTTCAACCTATGACATTCAAAAGGCTTGCATTTTTATTATCATTTAAATAGATTATAAATTCAATAAAGCCTGAATAAAAGCAATTTTTTTCTCTCCTTTCTTACGTAGCGAATTTGCGCATTCAATTTCACGAGTGAAAAAAAGTCATCGTTGTTCCGCATGAACATTTTGTAGAGAAAAAAAAAAAGAATTTAAATGATTACTTCATTTTTTCGGTTGTCGTTTGTTTTGTTTGCTTTTTGAGTATTTTTAGCCATGATTTATGGACTGTAGTAAAAGTATTGGGTCATCTCTTTTAGCGTATCAGGTTCATTTTCCATGCCGACACTCTTTCCGTTTAATCTCAGTCAAAATAAGGAAATTATATATTGTTCTTCTTGCAGTTAAATCATCTTTCCATCGTCAGAGGTGACTTTTTTTAAAAAATTACAAAAAAAAGCGACTATCAACCCAGAGGAAAAAAATGGCATTTGAGAAGAAAAAAACAACAAAGCGAAATCAAAAAAAAAAACTGACTCAAACGTACCGAATGAATTGGTGAGCAGGATCCTAAGTCGATCTTTGGTCGCTTACACGGCTCTTCATAATCACTGTTATTATTTCGTTCATCAATCGATTGTCGTCGTGTGCTATACTTGTCAATGCTATCTTCCTGTTGACGCTTTTCACTTGTTAATTTCGCTTTAATATTGTCGATTTTACTCAACACATTTTTTGCTGCAAATAAGAGGTTATTCATTTCAATTTTGATATTGTTGGGCATTTGAAATTGTAAAGAAAATCGTTTTTGTTTATACTCAATGGAAATCGGGATTTTATATCGGGGAATTTATGTATTTTTTCTATGAATTTATGATATATTCTATCATAGCATGAATTAAAAAAATGAAAAATCTTGAATCGTAAAATTTGTAACATTTGTACCCAGTTCGAATTTCGTTACGACGATTCCGATTTTGGTATGAATTTTATGATTTTTGATCGAAAAAAAAGAAAAAAAATGACATTTTATCCAAAATAAAACTTGCATCAAATCACTCACCGTCAAAACCGTCTGATGCGAGTGTGTTAGCGGTGACTGTGTCACAATTATCGTTAGCATCGTCGTCGTTATTATTGTGATCGTTGTTATCGATGTCCGCCGTAATATCTTCGTCAATATCACAATCTGTGTCCTGTTTAGTGAAATGCTCGGTGATATCGGTGTGTGATTTGATGAGTGTTGTGGTGTCCTTGTCGATGAGATTGGAATTTTTTTGATTTAATGTGGCCAAATTTGTGTATTGCGTATTGGTTGTAGTCGTAGTAGTAGGTTGACAGCCTCCTTCTAATTTAGTCGGTGGTGATTTTCGCTTTGAAGACATTGCTCTGTAACGAGACGCAGGCAAGGCGATATTGTTATTATTATGGAATACATTGTATATTTGTTTGGTGTGTGTGTGTGTGTATATATGTGAAAAGAGAAAGAATAAAAAGCAAATGTATGAGAAATTGGTTGGTGACAAATGAGACGACGACAACGAACTTGACAATGGTATACGACAAAGAAGCAAGATTAATGCGTGAATTTGATTCGCGCACAGTGGTTTCAATGGCTGAATGAAAGCGCGGTGTGATTCAGACACACAAAAAAAAAACAAATGAATAACAAAAGAGAAGCATAAGCCTGTAATTGTGATCGATTCTGGGGAGAGAAAAAAAAATATTGTTTCATAAAAGAATTCAAAATGATGGGAACGTCTTAAGAAGAGACAAAGTGATTAAGAAATGACATCGTTGAACATACAAAACAAAAATTAGAATAATAATTAACTGGTTATGTGGCGGCATTTTTGTTGTGTTCTTTTCATCATCATCAAGCATGCTCGGCCATTGTAAGCGATTGAGGTGATTTGGTGTTGTCTCTCTCTCTCTCTCTCTCTCACTCTCTCTCTCTGGCGCGCACAGTGCTCATGGCATGTATTTATTATTTGGGCATTCAAGTACAATGGGGTTTTGCCACTCCAAAAATTAGTCAAAGTGTGAATTGTTCTATGTTTGGTTGAACTTTTATGCGCCTGTGTATGTATGTTGTTTGCGCAGGCTTTTGTTTGCGTATTGGCTGTGCGCTATTCACAAAACACGAATGGCAAATAAGACCTTCGTCATTTCGATGCCACAAAATAACAATGTAACGTATTCGTTTGTTCGATGATTTTTTCGACACTTGTGGAACACGGCGGCGAAATCATATTCGCAAGGGTTCAACGCCGTGATTTTTGTCTTGTGTTTTTTGTCGGGTGTATGTGCGCTGCTGCTGTGAGATGGTTGTGATTGTTGTTGTTCTTGCTTTTTTCTCGCACGGCATTCAAATTTCCAGGAATTTCTTTTCAATTGTACCGCTATGGCTATGCTCAAATATTTGCTCTTTTGTCCGTTTCGTTCTTTTGTTGAAGATTAAAATGCCAATTATTATTGATCTCGCTTTCGTTTCACGCGCGCAAATTTTTAGTGACGCGTTAAGAACGGGGTTAAAATACCACGTGAAAATTCGACGAAACGTGGCATTTTATTTGCACATAGCATTGACCATATGCAAGAGACTGACCTCTTTCGCCTCACCTGTCTCTCTTTTTCTCTCTGCGCTATTTAGTTTGCGCTCTCTGATCAATCGAACTTTGATTCGTTCAACAAACTGTCTATTGTGCATAAAAAGGATCTCCAATCTATTTCCATGCTCAAAAGAGAGTAATGAGAGCGCAAGAGTGCGCACTCTTTGACGTTTTTATCCGCCGATCGCTAATGGATCACAAATGTATGAACAGAAAAGAAGAAAAAGATGTATGTGTGTGTGTGTGTGTGTGTGTGAGTGCTGTGGTCGGTTGCTGTTGTTCTTCGCTCAAGTACACTGAGAAAGAAATCAATTGTAAACAGCACTCAACGACTTCGATTCAAATAACAATAAGAAATATCACGTTTTTCTCGCGATGATAGTTTTATTCTTTTTGTTGTCGTTGTTGTGGATATGTGTGCTCTCTCCTTTCGGTATTATTCCTCTGAGAGGTTCCACTCTCCCTCTCTTGCGATTCGTGTGTACATCTTGTACATCTTTTGTTCGACGCGGCTTCGAATAACACAGAGACCGGCAAATGTGTAAGTTCTTTTATTATGTGCAATTGCGCGTTGTATTTTGCTGTGGCATTGTTCTCAAACTGCTCTTACAAATAAACATCACAACGCACAAATAATCGTCTTTTCGTTTCGTTTTTTTTTGTAAGTCTTAAAAAACGACTAATGTGATGAGTGGTGTTCAATTCACCGTGTGTTCCAAACGAAAAAAAAAAGATGAAGTGAGCTCATGTTTGCATGCCGGCGCGATTTTCGATCATTGTCTAATGTCCAAACAAATAGTTGGTGTACCGACAATCACACATCCAGCGAGAGAGCGAGAGAAGAGAGAAAAGAAAATCGGTACGACGATTTTTATTTGCTTTCCGATTCTCTTGTGTATACTCTCTCATTTGAGCATTTATAAACAAAACAAAATGATGACAAAAGAAATGAACTGAGAGAATTGGAGATCCACTCACACATACACAAAATCACACATCGTACACATACCGAAAGACAATGCGTGATTTATAATTTTACAATGCAAATACACATTAAACCGATAAATATACAAATGAACAACAAAACGACAACAACGACGACATAGATGAACAGAGAAAAAAATCACACACGAACTTTGAGAATAAATAAAATGAAATGACAAAAGTACCTAGCCAAAATACAGTGTGCGCAATAAACTACTATGTGAGTGAGAAAACAAATAGTTCAAGTCCATGTTGAATGCTAAGCAAGAAGCGCGCGCGAGCAATGAATAGTTGAAATTCATATGCATGCTGCATGGGGATTGTCTTATTTTTCGAAGATTCTATTGTGCGACTCAAGTCCATACACGGCATACTAGAGTATGTGATGCTGCTCTTTTATTGTTTGCCCGCTAAACTCAAACAATCAACCAAAAAAAAAAAAAAACAACGCATGCATACCATGAGCAATGAAACAATAAGCTGATTTCACCGAAAATGCTCAATTATCGGGCAACAAAACCACCAGAATGATATTAGGGCACAACATTTTATTTAACAGCAAGTCAACTTCTTAACTTAAACCAAGATTGTCTTAATCAGACTGAATACGATCCGGACACAAACGCTTTTTCTTGCATGAAACCACAAACGCATGAAATTTCATTATTCCACTTTACCGAATGAATTTAAATGGATTTGCCATTCGATGTTGATTTATTCTTTCGAAAAATATGAACATTAATTTTACAGCCTATAAACGATACATTAGACACATTTTTATTGTACTCCACAGAGTAGAGAGAGAGAGAGAGAGAAAAGAAATATAATAATTTTTCTGTTTATGTAAGTCATATAAAACGTATTTATAACACATTCACTTTTTGTCCATCGGATAAGGTAGGTGGCAAGCCTTTCATTTAAAATCTGATGCAATTTAATAGAGTTGCACACTTCCGTAAAATAACAATAAACCCCGAAATAAGTTAAGTGAATTGGAAAAGTGTTTCGGATCCATATATTTTTTCTCTTAGTTTTTATTTCATCCGTAAATTGCGTTTAGTAAAATGTTGCGTTTCTATGGAAAACTCTAATGGCTTTGGATGATCTAAGAATATGTATGTGTATCGTTCAATTTCCATGGTGTGTACCGAGCTCCGAGAAGTCGCGCTTCAATTTTATTGTTTTCACATATATTTTTTTTACTCCGTTTCAACCGAAATGTCTTGCGATATATGTGTCAGGGGCTTTGAAACGAAAACAATTTGTTTTTCTTCGCGTTTGTTGCTGTTTTTGTTTTTGAACTGCGCAATTTTCTGTGTGAAGATATTCTCGGGCTTATTTTGATGTTTCTTCTTATTAGCATTGAAGCATTGAATGAAGAATGGTTGAATGAACGAGCCAATTGAATTGATGCCCATTGACTTTGATCCGATTGCCGTGACAATGCAATCCAAACTCTGGACTATTGTGCAATGTATGCTCAAAATCATAAAAGGACAATGGATTCGCCGGTAGTACAAAAACATATGCGGCATTTACATAAGCGCAGTGCAATTGTCACAGAGTGGCAAACGTGTGACATGTCTGATTTTTGTTTTGTGTTTATTGTTTCACTCAACAAACAAAAAGGCATCGCGACACACACACACACACACACACTTGAGCAGCTCAGAGAATCGCTTCGCCGAATTCATAGACAATGACTAAATATGAATCCGGAGATTAATTCCGAAACACGAAAATGGTTCGAACCGAATTGACAAGATCAGTATGGCAGTAACAATGCGAAACGAAAAGAAAAATGGAACAATTGAGATGATCGGCTGTTTTAAAAGTCCAGAACAGAAAAGGGCGACAATAGAGCGAACCGATCTTGTGTTTGTGGGAAATTATTTCCTGTTTATGCATCAAAATGATTTGAATTTCAGTTGCGTTCGAGCATGTCCTTTGAGCCGCGCTAAACGCGAAAGAAGCAACTATTGTGTGCGATGACAAGAATGTGGGCGCAATAAATTGTCCGCATTTTATTCGGTCTACATTTTGATTGCATTACCAAAATACGTACGAAAATCAAAGTGTTTGAACCTTCACAACTGATTTGTGTGATACTCACACTCTATCTCACACACAAAAGGAACGCTCGTAAAAAATAACCAACCAAAAATATTTGAAAGTTAATTTTTGTTCATCTAATTTATGAGGCTAATCGCTACTATTTTTCTGTCGAGAATGAGAGAGAGAATCTCGCGCCAACAAACAACATTCTTTTTTCTCTCCCATTTTCATTGCGTTTTTAGATTTTGTTCACATCGAATTCATTTTTATGCGTTCAGTTTTGTTCTTCTTCTCTCTCGTCGAACACTATCGATGTATGCAATGCCTGATACTGAATTCCATAGACCAACCAAAAACACAAAAAAGAGAAGAAAAAAAACAACACCGTTTCTCTAAACTACAAAAGAAAGCCATGGAAAATCTGTAACAATCCTAATAATAATCGAAACCGAAGCAACGAACGCAACAATAACATGTGTATTACACGAGCTGGCATGCGTGCGAGTGAGAGAGAAGGCAAGAGAATTAATAATAAAAACTGAAACAGAGAGAAAAGCCACTTTAGATTCTCTCTTCGCTCGTAATTAAAAATGTTTTATAATGTGCGATAAGACATGCTGAATGGTTGTTTTGGTTTTGCGATTTGAAGTCTGGTTGTTGCTGGCGGATATTCTATTTCTTAATACCCAAGTGATTCCCGATTTGAATGTTCCGTGTATATCGTTAAAAAAAAAACGC